TTTCTGTACTCATTATAACTACAAACGTTAAGTACTACTCCCTGAAAAATAATATAGTTATCCTTTTCCCACAGAAATATCTTTGTAGAAATACAACTGGTAGACATCTTTTTTTTTATTATGGGAATGTCCATAACACTAATGGATGCTAAACAATTTAGTTTTTACACTGGAGACATATTAAAAGTTCATTCGACTAGGAAAAAAAAAAAAAAAAAGAAACTAGAGTCAGAGACTCAGAAGTAAAATATAACATGAAAGAGGTAGCTGTATTTCCAAAGTAGCAGTCAGCTTGGGGGGAAACAAAACAAAACAAAAAGTAAAAAGAAAAAAAAAATCAGTGTAAGAACAATTTGCCACTGAAGTCAAGACAGAAAAAAAAAACCCCAGAAGGCACTGAACTGGGTTAGCATTGCCTATCCATGAGATGTTTTCTTCAGGCACTGCACAGAAMTCTTTTTAAAGAGTACTCCTTTAAATGAAAGCAACAAAGTTACCTCATTCATGAACTCAGAAACATAGAAAATATTCTGGGAGCAAAAGAACCAATCATACAAAACAACAGAATTGCCTGAAAGACATRAAAATAACTCCAGCTGGTGGAAACATTAGGCAACACAAATAGAAGAAAACAAACAGTATGAAAATGTTGTCATAAAGCCAACAGTCCAATTCTAATAATTTTGACAGAAACATGAAGTTACTGGCTATAAATTCTACAAACAGCATCACCTTCTGCAAACGCATGGTTCCCAATCAGCAAACAGCCTTAGAAAGTTTGAGAAGAAGGAATTACATTGATTCTTTAGATCTTAAAAAACCAAAACCAGTGTAGAATTTTTGAAACAGTAACTGACAAACAGTAACTGACAAAACAGACAATTAGATGWGTAGTGAAAACAGAAAGATTGTGCACATTTAAAGAAAACTTGCCTGTCCAAAATTAGATCATTTGYTTCTATTGACAGCTTAAAATATAAAATATTATATCATAGACCACTTTTGGGATAGCATTTCAGTCAAGTAACTMCTGAAAAATACTGAAACTGAGAATTTAGTTAAAAGGTCTTTTTGTGTTTAGCACATCTTGGATCTTATTTTACACCCAATTCTGACATGCAGCTATTCTTCTTTATTGGCTCCCAAATACAAGTATGCCACTGTGTGAGTAACACACTATATTAGCAGTTTTGTGAAAAGAAGTATCCCAACTGTACCTATGCTACTAGGATTTTACATGCCACAATGAGAAACAACGAGTTGTTGATTAGTCAGCCCCCAAAAGTTCCCAAGATGTGTGAAATGATCCACAGTTCAAAAACCTGAAATGAATGCTTTTGATTTAGATTCTTGGTCCTTATTGTTGTTTTGCATTATATGAGAAACAGGTAGTTTTCAGCACAACCTTTACCATATTATCATCTTTAAAAGCACAAGGTTCTCTAGAGCTGCAGCAGGCATTGTCACAAGTTCCTAAACCAGCCCTTTTCAACAGATCATAAAGCACTTGCATAAGGTCTAGAAACCCTCACATGTGAAAGCCACCAAGCACTACCCRGTTCCTTTTGACAGATTCTCCACCCTTAAAAGAACATTATATGATCAGAAGAATACCTAGAAAAAATTGCCAAATAAAAATAAAAGGCCTATGCAAAAATATTTACAACTATAGATTATAATTTAGAATGTAATTCTTAGCTGCTTCAGTGTCACAGTTAACTTGTAGTGAAACTGGGCCACATACTCATTTTTCCCAAGATGGCTTTGACTTCCCATCTCTCCTATTTTATTTTTGGAATCACATAAAGCAGCCATAAAATGAAACTTTATTTGTAGAAGTCTTGTATTTTCATCTGTTTCTCTTACAGTTTGCATCTSCATTCTCTGAAATTATGTAGGACACTGCACTCAGCAATGCAGTGGAATACAGAATCTAATTTCCACAAATTCCTAGGGCAGACTTGAAGAAGACAGGATGTCTGTATCAGGCTCAGAACCTGATACAGACAGGTTTGCCCCTCCTTTGCKGCTGCGCTTATACTGTTTCAGGTGCAACAGTGAGCCGGTGCTCTTTACTCAAGAGGCAGAAAACTCAACATAAAAAACAAGCTAATAGTTCTCTTTTCAATAAAACCAGAAAAAAAATGCTAAAAACAAAGAAGACGACTCTAGTCTTCTCAATTTAATCCTGTTAGGAGAAAAGGGAAAAGTCACCGGAAGGTATCATGCTCTGCTCTTTGCAAGGATGCAGTAGAAGGCCCATTGAACATTCACATTATGCCTGTCAATTTTCAGTTATTACAGCAGCACACYACTTATTCTCCCTTACAAAATACCTCTACTCCCGTGAGAATAACTTTTTATTAAAAATATTAACTCCTAAAGTTTTTACAGTTCAATAGAAATGGTCTCAATTATGTGAAAGTTTACACAGTAACCTACTACCCCAGCTGTCCAAATACCATCCTCTTAACTCAGTACTACACACAGGATTACAGACTTTCATTATGCAAAGTCAGGAATACCTGCATTATAGAACCTTACTTATTTTATCAAAGCCTCTCTACTGGGCTCTAAGACCAGTTAGGTCTTCATCAGGTTTTTCTGGTCCAGCTTTCTGCCTTCTGGCCACCAGACTTTGTTTACTGAACACTCAGGCTCCCTGCCTTCTGTGGGATTCCCCTTTGCWACAGAGGACACTGCACTGAATTTACAGACCCTTCCAAACTCAAACTGAGTAAGGCTGTAAAATGATTCTTTTGGTGACCAGCATGGGTGGTGAAAACCTGTTGCCATGAGGTCAGCCTGTGTCCAGAAAATGTCAAAGCATCACAGGCAGGTTAAGAATGCTTTATTTCAAACACATCAAATAATGCCCAATGCATGTCACTTAAAATTGTCGAATCCAGATGACAGGAATTATCTCAATGGGGAGAAAAATCTCAAGCTGTATAACTATATGAGAAAAATAGGTCAAGCATTAGATTTGACAACTTTGAGAGTAATGATGATCCATTTGTCCTATGGTGAAGCCCTAACACTGGCAGAAATGATGAGCAATGCTGTACAGCACAAAGGAGTTAAAAATAGTACATCACTGAGAAATAAAGAAGTTCTTCGAGAAATTTAATGGGACTTAGTTTATATTGCCCTGCTTTGGGGCTAYATCTGTGCATCATCCTATCGATTTCTACTGAGAAGCACCCCTGGATGGATGTATGAAAAAAAACTTACCTTCGCATTGTATAAAAAGAAAATGCTTGTTTCCCAGAATATAAAGGGGAAACACTAACCAGAAATTCAGGTTCTGTAATTATTTAACATACATAATGGAACCAGTGTAAGGGGATCCAATTAGAAAAAGATAAAATGAAAATAAGTTATATTAACAGAATACATGCATCCAATGTGTCCATTAGACATGGTGAGCTCTAACAATAGTCTTAAACACAGTTAAACAGTCCTGATATTTGTCATCCTRACTGTTCTGCAACAACTGTTAACTGCACGTGTCAACTAGCATTACYATGCTCAGTTCATCTATAGGAAAAGTAAAGAGAAATTATTCCTCAAAGTTCTATCTTCTGCAGCAAATGAAATCTATCGTCAATGTAAAGAACTGATGCTCTTTTGAGAAGGAAATATAAAATACTTGCTGAGAATCACGTATGAAGTAGCTATTTGAAAATATTTCCGTTGCTTTATCCTTCCTTCTTTTCGTCTTTTTTTGCAATGCTGTTTCCTATGACACAGGAAACATCATAGCAGGCCATGTGGGGGTGCTGTGCTGAGAACACAACTTTTTTCACCAACAGCCTGACATACACACAAACTATCGACCGGCTTTCTTCAGGATCAGGACATTCACTTTGCCCAGTGAGTGACATTCCGAAGGCTGCTAAAGCCCAGGTGTCAGGGCTGACAGGTTCAGGTTCTCTCTGTCAGGCTATATACCACGCTTCCTGGACAAGGCGGCAGGCATGAGAACAGTAGATGACACGGGAAATAACCACTCTCATTAGAATCCATCTGTATCCTTATCTTTACCACGACTAGAATCCCATGCTTCAGGGATGGCCAAAACCCTCCTACGAACCAAAACCCCACCCGAGGCAGCAGCGGTCCTGCCCAAGCCGAGTTACGGTGCGACAAGCGTGTCACAGCGCGAAGGGCGCCGGCGATCGGACTTGGGGAGAAGCAGGAGCAATTCCCCGCTGCCGCCAGCGGCGCCGGGAGAAGCGCCCGTCCCAGCCCGGCCGGGGCGCTCCGGGGCGGGGGCAGCCGGGCACGGCACAGCCCGCCAGTATTCCCGGGCGGCGGCTGGAGCGGCCCGCCCTCAGCCCGCCCCGGTGCCGCTCACCTCGGAGACGCCTCTGGTACCGCTCCAGGGACTCCTCCAGGGCGGGCTCCCCGCGGGGACCCCGCATCAGGACACCGTCGGCTCCCGGGGAGCGGCCGGCTCTGTCTCCCCCCGCAGCGGGCTCCCCACGGTGAGGCTGGGGGACAGCAGTTCCACCCGTTCCGCCTTCTCCCGCTGAGCTCTCGGAAGAGCCACCTGCGGGGATCCCTCTGGYTCCTGATGGCCGGCGGTTGCCGCCGGCCGCCACAGCTGACTCTGGCGACCCCGGGAGCCCGTCGCGCCTCCCGATGGCGGGAATAGCATCGTCGGGACTACAAGTCCCGGCATGCCCCGCGCGGCGGGGGGCGGAGCCCCCGCCCACCGCCTTCCCCCGGCAACGGGGCGAGGGTGGTCGCAGCAACCCGTCTCCCCTTTGTTGTGGATCGGGGCCGCAGTCGCGCGTGCGCACAGCGCAGCCCGTCCGCCTACGCCCTCGGGCCGGCAGCGGGCTCAGCGCCGGTCCCGTCACGGCCGGGGCGGATTGGGGCGGGAAGCGCCGTTTACCTCCCGCCATCGCCCGCGCGGGGAGAGCCCCCAGCCCGGGCAGCGCTATTGTCTGCGGCCGGCGCAGGCGCAGCGCGGCCCTGCCGCCGCTCGGCCGCGGCGCCTGCGCAGTGCGGCGCGGTGCCGCGGTGCCGTTACCCGCCACTATGTGCAGGGAATAACGCCGAGGCCGTTGCCAGAGGGACACCGAGCGCTCCGCCCTCGCTCCCGCATCCCGCGGGATGCCGGCTCGCTGAGCACCCGCTAGCGACGGCCCCTCTCTGGCGCGGCGAGCCTCCTCGGAGGGGTGAGTGAGGATGATGCTGCCGCCGCCGCCCTGGGCAGGGGGTCGGGCGGGAGCCGTGGCGGGGAGAAGGGCCGCGGTCGCGCCGTCCGTCCGCCCGGTGCCTATTGTGTCAGGCGGACTCCACTCGCCAGGACCAGGGCGAGCTGCGGCCGGCGGAGGGGTAGGCAGCACGGTCTGGGCACAGCCCGCTCCCCCTCCCCCGTCCCCGCCGGGCCCGGAGGTTGCTCCGCGCCCCCGCCTTCATTTCCCCTCCTCAGGCCGGGGGCATCGCCGGTGCCACGGGGCACGGCCTCAGGCGAGATGCGGACGGCATCCCGCATCTGGCATTTGTCGCTGCTGGATCCCGCTGCCCGCGTCTCTGTCCCTTTCTGCCCGCGGGGCGCCCCCGGCACACCCACCCATCCACCCAACCCCGGGGCTGCGCAGCCTCCCCTCCCGCGGGCGGATTTCCGCGAGTCCAGCCGAGACGTTTCCAGAGATTTAATTTTTTTTTTCGGTTGTCCTCTTTCACTGACTGCCCCGGGGCTGGAAGCGGCGTGTTTCTCCGGATTTAAAAATCAGTGACACCCTTCGTCTGGGATGCGGCGTTTCCCCCCATCTCCTTAAAATAATGCGTTCTGTGAAAGGATGATGGAGAAAATCTGCGTGTTTCGCCTTTTCTCCTATTGCGTATTTCCACCCGACGAGTCAGGTCCTCTGCTTCCGAAAATATTCTCCCGAAGGCGTCAGCTTTTTCGAGGCGCTGCCCGGGGAAAACACGAAATCGGGGTTTTTGTCCCCGGTGGCGAGGAGCAGCCCGGGCCCACATTGTGCGCCTGCCGTGGGGACGAACGGGTTACTGCGCTAACAAAAACCCGATGGCGATTTTCGAGCAGAAAGCGGCGTCGCAGCAGAGGAAGCGGGCGGGAGGGGCGGGGCGGGGGCGCTCCCGGGCCCCCCTGCACCCGCAGCCGCCGGGCAGCGGGGCCGTGCGAGCCGGCAGCGGCGGCGGGACGCGGGCACGGGTGGCGGGCGCTGCCTGCCAGCGTTGGCGGTGGTGTTTTGAGCGCTTTTTTAACATAAGCCGACAATTAGCCCATCAGTGCTCGCGGCTCGATGGAAAAAAATGAGATGTAGATGCTRTGCTGACGAGTTGCAGATACATAAGGATTGCGTTCTTGTGACAAGAGATTAGATAGCAGCCACTGATCTGCACTTGGAGGAAATTATTTTCTTCCCTCTGGAAGCAAAGGTGCTCATAAAATATTTAACTASTTTGAAAGAATAAAGCCTGTTCTAGCACTGCGATGATCATCTTTTCTGCTTTGGAATGCCATTCAAGGCATTGTGACAGCGTTATTGGCCCTGGGCTTGCGTCTGTAAAATGATATGTGGGATGGGACAGTTTTTGTAAACTGAACTAAGACATGATTAAATATGCTATGATTTCCTATGATTAATTTCCTTTGGAAATTGCTTTATGTCCAGATGCTGAGAAGTCTGTCTTACTCAACTCTGCTGATATGGAAGCTCCTCAAGTTTAAATTTTATTTAATGGGAAATAAAGTTAAACACTGCAAAGAATCTCCCCTCACTCTTTGATGATTACTTTTTGAAACACTTTGCCACTTTCATTTAGATGCTTTGTTGTTGTTGGCTTTTTTTTTTTCCTTTGTCTGAAGAAGGTCAGGAAGGCTGGCTGAATAGAGAGAATAAAGCAGCTGGGGATACAAAGCATTATGTCAAAATCTCAACAATCTAGAAGTTTGTAATGCATCAGATAAAATGCTTTCGTTAATTCTTGTTAGCAGAAGCCTTCTGACTTTTAAGTTGTTACCAAACTTCGGCATGACAGTGCATTGTTTGGAGGGTGGTTTTGACCTATGGCTATTTCACATATCTGCTCTGACTTTTGGAAAAAAAATGGTTCTTTCTATATTGTGTCTTGTCTGTTGTGATGGAGTTGAGATCCAGGTTATGAAAATGAACTGGGAAAGTCTATGTTTAGTTGTTGGTGAGAACTTGGAAGATTCTTCACATGCCTGGAATGAAACCCAAGGCATGAGTAGCTGCAGAAATGGATTTTGCATTACCATTTCCATTTCTTGCAATTACAGGGAAAAGATATTTAATGGATATTGATACCGTAGTATCTCCTTGATTGTCTCCTAACAGGACCATTTCCATGTTAGAACTGCTTTTCTTAGCTTTGCAGGCAGAGTGGAATTGAGATACAACAGATTGTTTTTACTTTAGCTAGAAAGCAAAGAAAAACTGTGAAATTCTATGTTTCCTTTAGAAAATTCTGAACAGGGGAGTCAGATATGGAATATATGCAAATAGGAGATTTTGTACAAGCAAGTTCTGCTATCTGCTTCTAGCACTTGTGAGATTGTAAAAGGACACAATAGCATGCACTTCCCCCTCTTTGAAGAATATGCTACAATATGTAGTAAAAATTGATTCTGTTGTGACCAAGAGACTGCAATGTTTAAAAAAAGGAAGTTGTTTGTTACTGAGGAATGGAGCTGGGAGCTGAGGTTTGATGTGTGTATCTCTTCTGAGGTGCGCATCTTTGCTGCTCTAATTGAGGCTGTGGCACTTTTCGTTGTCTGTTAGGGTTATAATGCTCCTGCTGAAAACCTGCACGTCTCTGGTATTGACCTTCATGTGTCCACACATTTTTGGGGGACTGGTTACAGACAGCAGCATCCTTCAGTGCACAATGCTAATGTTTCCCTGAATCACAGTGTATTTAGGACATTTGAATGGGGCAGGTGTCATGGAGAGAAATAGTATGTGATCAGGTGACTTGGAATGTAACATAATGCATGCAAATAAGGGTGGAAAGAGAGTTGTTTAAACAACTTCATGTATCTCTGTTGTACAGTTCTGCATAAAATATTAAAATAAATTACAAATGCTTGGTTCCATCTTGCAGTTTAATTTCTCTGACAGTACAACCAAAAAGCTGGGAKGCTGTTTTTTTCCTGCAGGGGCATTTGTAGGTAGAACAGTCTTTTTAATTAAAATTGTGTTTGACCTTCAAAAAACCCATATATTTTAAATTAGCATATATAATTTTTTATCGTATGTCAAAATCAGCTTGTCCTAGAGGCCTCAAATAAAAGCCAACAATATATTTTAGTAGATTGTTGGCACAATTAGATTTCAGATGGGGAGACCATCTGGGAACATACTCAGTGCTGCATCACTGAAAGGGGAGTGTATCCTGCTGTCTGTTAGATTGTAGGTGAGAACTAAGGGAGTAGGTGGATATTAAAGAGGCTGACTAGTAATTCTCGTATCTTAATGCCTCTGCATGGAGTATTCCCAGTTACTGCCTCTTTTTTGCATTTGGTACAGCATGGCTGCACTGCTTTGTTGCAGTGACTCTGGTAGTTTTYGAAGTACATGAGAAGTCAATTCACTCCACTAACCCAGCAGAACACTATTTCTTTTCTTTTTGTTTTGCTTTTTTCCCCCCCTTCCTCCCTTGGATTAGCAAATTGAATTATCTTATTGTGTGGCCAGATGAGTGCCAGAGCAAGTACACAGAACGGGGACAACAGTGTCAAGCCAGGAAGAGGGGAATTCTCATTTTTCCAGTAGTAAAAGTACCTTTGATCTACTTTAGAGTCCTATAGAGCTTATCCCCTGCACCACTGCAGGCTACTGTGGTCAGAGAGGAGGAAGGTTATGCATAAATCCAAGAAAACAAAAAATTAAGATACTGGGCTGGTTCTTTTTGTTAGTCTTTATTTGAGTTCCTTGATATTTAAAATGTCCACAGCCACAGACTAAACATTCAGAACCTATCACTGGATGAAAAAGAAGTTTCTCTGGAAAGTAAATGTAAAAAGAGGGAGGAGTAGTTCTGTTGAGCATTGTGGCCTTTACTAGGATAAGCAGGATTTTTGTTCCAGGCAAATGTTTTCCTTYATGGAATTTAAGGATATAAATTTTCAAATATTTTCATAGTTTTGTCTCTCCTATTTACTACTTTTGAAGTGTGTGGATTTTCTGAATTGTAGAAAGGTGCTAGTAGGTAGGGGTTTAGGGAAATGGTGGGGTTTTAAATTCAAAACAGAGATTAAAACATAGTTTTTTGTTTTATTCCCAGATAAATATCTATGTGAGCCCAACAAATCTGTCAGCTTTGTTTCTTCTTCTCTTTTTCTCCTCTGAGAAATTTTAACTGAAAAAGTAGACTTTACTTTAGCTAGGTGCTTTTCGGAGCTTCAGCGTCATCCACTCGTGGGCCCAGTGGGCTCATTCAGATCCAACTGCAGCCCTCTTACTGTCTATCTTCTTTGGTTGGTTCTGCTGCTTTTATTGCAAGRTTTGGTGTTTTTGTAATAGGGTCCTCTATTTACTTGTTTCCGTTCTTTTGAACTAAAATGTTTTATATTCTGATCTAGTCAGAAAACTTAAGAGGGTATTATCCTTGACAAACAGCTGAGTCTTCAGAAGTCTGTGTGGTGCATTTTCCAGATCTCATTTTGTACTTTATTCCAAATAAAATTCTGGTTCTGCTCACTTTGTTTCTTTCCAGGAAGCACTGCAATTATTGAGCTTTTCAGAGACATAATAACAGAAGTGGTGCCACTCCCTGGCATTTCCAAGATGTTTCTTTGTATGTGGGCTATTTAGTTAGTCTTCAGCTGTGGTATATGAAAAACTTGTAATCAATCCATTAGCAAATCATTATGGTTTGAAAGTGGCAATACACTCAGTGCATTAAATCAGATGTACTTGCAACTTTTCCCTCAAAATTACATGCCCAAATAATTTTGTTGATGATCTTTCTATTCATTTGCAAATACTTGGTCATCTAAATATGCATTCTGTTCAGTGTTCAAAACCAAAGCCTTTTCAACTATGTCTTATTTGTCTTCTTGCAGTGGATTGCATTTCAGAATTAGGAAAAAAATAGAGGAAGGTAGACTGTCATTACACCTTTCCAGTTTTCTCATGAACATACATGTTTCCTGTTTACATTAATCTTACCTTCTCTCCTC